ATGTTGTGCTAAACTTGTAGAAACGTTTTCTCAAAGTTATGTCGAATTAGACGATCTCTTCTCGGAATTACAACCATGGCAAATTACTTTACCAGAATCTGATGTGCCATTGCGTGCTATGGATATTTTTGAGTTTGTTAGACATAGACTCTTTTTCAAATATATTAATAGCTTATCGAATTTGATTTACTGCACCAGTCACTATAGCATCAGCTGAAACACAATTTCTCAAAGTTGAAGTTATTGGGAAACTATTTGAGATCATCAATGCCACAATAAAGATTGACTAGTCTTGCTACTATATGCATTGAGAAAGGAAAGTTGGATGAAACAAATACTGATGTGGTTATTGATGACTTCTCTTCCAGAAGGGTTAGGAGAAACAACAAGATCTGATCATCATATTAAGGATGCTTTGGAGACGTTTTCTTCGGGTGAAGACATCGAGTGACGAACAGATTGGAGAGAATATAAACTAATGTAAGTTCTCATGCATTGACATTATATCTCATGATAACAAACATTATATCTCTGAATTTTCATTTGTCCACAAGTGCCCCATTTTGTCGTCTCACCCTATGGCCCCAAATATGTATGAACCGGCCCTTCGTCTGTGGTGACTTCGTCAAACTCAAAACGCGTCTGCATTGTTTTAGAAAAAAACACTCCTCAAAGGAATAGGAAAAGGAAACTAAACACAGTGCATGCATGTTTCCTCCTTTGTTTGATTGAAAGGAAGAGGAAACTAAAATATGGGACAACATTTGTAAACAAGGTAAAACAAGAAGATAGATCAGCTACCAAAGTACGTCCATACTGCAGTAAAAAAGACCGGTAAACAATGTAATACACGGAAAAGATCAGCTAAAAGATCTTCCTCCACATTGGGACATCAACAAAAAGCGTAGCGTCCACAAATGAGGAACATTTGTCAAGTGAGTTGACTGCCTATAAGTACGCAAATCATATATATGATTCGCTTACTGCATGAGACGATAGTAGCGCTCGACTGTAAGAGTTCGCCCGACTGGACTGGCACAACAGAAGTTGTGCACAAGCGGTTTTGGGGAAGTTCAATGTGATTTTTTTTCTCTTTATGTGTTTTCTCCAGCTACTTCCTTTTTTTCATTTTCCATTTAGATTTTTTCTGTTTTCAAATACACGTGTCAAAAAAAATTTAGTACACCTTGAACATTTTCAGTATACACCTTGAACATTTTTTAGATATACGCTGAGCTTTTTTTCAAATACACGCTAAACATTAATCTAAATACATGTTGAACTTTTGTTAAATGCAAAATTGAACGATTTTTAATACACAATGAACATTTTAAAACACATGCTGAACTTTCTAAAAAAATCATGAACATTTTTATAGAACATGTGAATATTCCTTAAGTGTTTATGACCATTTCTTAAATAGCACAAATATTTTACATTATGAACAGCCCTTAAATTTACACGAACATGTTTTACATTTCATGAGTATTTTACAATGTCATGGACATATTTTTGAACGCCTGAAAAAATGGCATGGATAATTTTTATGAATGGTGCCAACATTTTAAAAAAATGTGAATGTTTTTTTACATTTCATGCACATTTGTATAAAAATTTCATTAACATATTTTGAACATGTGAAATTTTTTGAATGACACAACCATTTTTCTGAATGGCACAAATGATTTTTCAATTGCACAAACAAATTTCTGTATTTGGTGAACTTTTTCTAATACACGGTGAGCGTTTTTAAAAAAATTATTAAAGTAATATATGCAATACATATATGAACGCAGATTTGGTGAACATGGGTGCGCGCGCACCCTTTATGAATAGTAAATTCGAAAAAAATGCTACAAAAAATCTGAATTTATTTTTTTAATATACATAATCAATTGGTATACTTGCATATGAAGTTTCACGAAGAAATCACATCCCTAGTAATCTGGGCAAAAATGACAAAATCAAAGCTATATTAAAAAATTGTTTAATGAATAGTATGGTCACATTTATATTTTTCTTCACTAAGAATACCATATGGGTGTCAATACATCATGAAACTTCACATGTGAGTAGAATGATCGACTAAGTTTCATACATCATGAAACTTCACACGTGAGTAGAATGCCGCGATGGCTCAGAGCCTCAGACCACCGCAATGCATCCCTGTATGCTCTGGAGGTCGAATGCTCGCCCTTCCATTCGTGCTCTCCCTATCCAGCCTCATTCTCGCTGTCCCTCGCCACTCCCAGATCGTGCTACGCTTCTGTCAAATTTGAGCCATCCTCAGCGTGTGGAAAACAAACTTGGTGCGCTGGGTGTCATTCTCGCCCACTGTACCAACCCGTTGTTGAGAGTTGGATCATACTCCCTCCGTTCCTAAATAATTGTTTTTCTAGAGATTTCAACAAATGACTACATACGGAGCAAAATGAGTGAATCGACGCTCTAAAATATGTCTACATACATCCGTATGTTGTAGTCCATTTGAGATGGCTAGAAAGACAATTATTTAGGAACGGAGGGAGTATAATATACCTTGAGCTTTACTAAGTTGGGAAACAGGTAACGTGGAGTCATTCTCATAGTAAAGCCAATAAGTACCTTGTGTTGATATGTGCCTTCTGATTTAACACAAGTCAAATAATAATACTTACCTAACAATCTTGATTTCTGAACAACAAATGTTTGTGTTTATGTGCACAAAGCTTTTCATTTTCTATTTTTGATGATCTGTGCTTTCCAATCAAAGAGAATCCTAATAATGCCCTGTAATGCTAAATTCAGACCACCAAGTGTCTGTGTTTGTTTAGAAAGCTTTTCATTTTTCTGTCTATCTTATGCTGCAATATAGTAATTCTGAAAATCTCATTGATTTTTCTTGATTTAATTTTTGCATGATCGGTCATTTATAAAATACGAAGGAATGCAAGGAAAGCTCAATAAATCATTTACCAAGGTCCATTGAGGTACAAGCACAAAATCCATTTTGATATATTACATGTGAAGCTGTTTCCCAACGATTATCAGGAGAGAAACAGGTCTCTAATAAACATATAATGTATATTGTTTTCCTAAGATTATATAATGCGAACCATTATAACTTAGTAAAACAAATGTTTGCAGGTTGCCTCCAAGCATCCACTTTAGTGCAAAACTTTCTCCAGTCTACGGCCCATTCAGTTGCTTCAACAATAAATCCATCCGCTGAATATATATATAGGGCAGAAATACTTCTTCAGTCAAAAGTACAGCTGTTGAACCAATGAGTTCTTTTGACAAGAAGCGTTGTCGTAATAGGGAAAGATACTTGCTTATAACTCGGAACAGCAAGATGTATCTGTGAAGAAACTGTCAGTACAAATGGAGTGGAGAGGCAAAATTTAAAAATCATGATACAAGTGATAATAATGTTATGAAGTCTGTAGTGAACCAAACCGGTACAATTAGTAACGACGACACCAACTCACAAATCACAAAGAAAAAACAATTGGTATTTTTTATTACTAATATATTTGGTGTTATTTCTGTTGGATAATTGTTCAATATTGTTGGTCAAGAAATTGCACTATTCACTACCCGAAGATTTATGGGTGTGTGATCAACTTTTCGCATATATTCCTTTCCTGCTACTCCCTCCGTCTCAAAATTCTTGTCTTAGATTTGTCTAAATACGGATGTATCAAGTCATGTTTTAGTATTAGGTACATCCGTGTCTAGACAATTCTAAGACAAGAATTTTAGGACGGAGGGAGTATTATTTTTCCCGTGTTGTCGTGTTTCCCAGTTGAATTTGAACAGTCTGAATGCAACTCACAAAATAGGAGACTTGGTTCAGCAATGAGGTTGTTCCCCTAGAAACGTCTGCAGGCTCACGTTCGATGACGAGGTCGAACACCTCGCGCCACCCCTACAGGCTACAGCAGCAATGGCAGTCAAACTTGAAGATGTGCCTGTTTTGAGGCAAAAGCTGGATTAGCGGGACAGCCGGTACTCTGTCTGTTCTTCTATTATTACTCGGCTTGTTCTACAGGTTGCTTCTTGAGCACCACCTGAACGGCATTTGACAAAAGATGGAGGAGATATCATCTAGAACCATCCAGAAAATGGTAGTAGAATATTTTATAGAGCAATTAGAGAGTATGGTGACCGGTAAAAATGTAGAAAATTTATTTTTTGTTTCAGAGGTATAGTTTGTTCTTGGTCATCAAGTTATTGGGTGGCTCTCCAGTGTGGTTGGGTGGTTCTGTCCCCTGTTCCGTTTGTTTTGTCTGATAAGCCACAAGCGTATCTTCCAGGGAGAACTGTGAGCAAGTATTGTTGTTGAAGAAATTTCACAAATTTACTTCTCAAAGATTCAGGGGTATTTTTTTCCTCAGCATTTTCCAAATAGATGATCAACTTATCAGAATTCTTTGCTATTATTTTTTCCCCTGTTGCCATGTTCTTCTATCGTCTCAACGGAGTCTTTAGCCCATATCACGAGAGGACATTTTATTTTTTTTAGAAATGATCAAAACAAAGTTGACTAATAAAAAACATTATAATCTAACAAAATTTACATCTGCTTGACTGTAACTTCAAAATTCATCATTTTGTTTTACATGTTTCTCAACTTTGTTAGTGCTGAATTTACTAGTTTTGCAAAATGCGGGAGGCTAAATTTCATAACAAGGCGTGCAAGAAAAAAGCAAACAATTTCACAATGACGAAAATTATTTCACATTCATGACAGTATATATGAAAAACAACTCAAAATCTGAACTAACGACTCGACGATAAAGCATGCCATATAACATGTCTCGCAAAATGCGTCCACAGATAAAACACTCCAGATAAACAGCTACCAAAACAGCATATGATGTCTCAGACTCAGGATAACCGATAACATGACACAAAATCATACTTTAGGGTCTCTTAAGGTAGGACGATAAACTGCTACTAATTCAACAAGATGATCACTGGCTGACGCCGAGCCACTTACTAATTCAACGAGATGATCACTGGCTGACGCCGAGCCACTTGGAGAAGACGTCGAACTCCATGTAGTCGCTGTCAGAGATCATGGTCTGGTACCAAGCCTTCCCAGCAGCCTTGATCTTAGATGCCTCCTCCTACAATAACAAATGTTCCTTCATCAGTGATGAGAAAACCAAATAGTAAATGCAGGATATGGAATTCAGTCACCTGGCAATCAAGCTTAATTACAAACTGGGATAAATGGCATACAACGAGCACAAACAAATCATATTGGATACTGGTGAATCAGATATTCAGTATGGCATGCTATGAAAAGAAATTAGACATTGTGTTTTTTAGAGAAGAAAGAGTAACACAACCATCCATACTGATAAATCAGGCTAACAAAACAAATACACTCAGAGAGACTAACAAATCAAGATAGGCGCCTTCATTATGGATACAAAGATTAAACATGCAGCTATAAACTGAAGTACGGAGAAATACACTACCGAGTATATGCAAAGAACACACAACTAGTGTGCTTGATCCCTATTTCAGGGCTAGACAGGCATGCCAGAAATGAAATGGAAGTACATCAAAGCATATCAAACAGTTACAGATATTGCATATACAATCCATGGGAAACTAACATAGCTTGCATATAACCCAGCCAGACTATACAAACAACCATGTATACAGAAAAAGAAACTAAATAATCAAGATAGGCAGCTTGACTATGAACACAAAAAAAAAATAAACCTGCAACTAGAAATTTATTTGAGGAACACATAACAGAACCTATTGATGAATCAGGTATTCCAGAATTGTTATCATCATAAACTGATCACAACCTACTAATGAATCAGGCATATCATCATAAATAAACTAACTAATCATAACCTATCAATGAATCAGGCATTCCATGCAACAGTACAAACATATGGAAATGTACAGAATTGTTATCATCATAAACTGAAATCACCATGCACAATACAGGCATTCCAGAATTCAAGTCATGCTAAATACCACTACACATAAAGACTTAGTAAAACCTTACTACGGACATTCAACAATTGCTGAAGAGTATTATAAGGTATATGTAATCATGTGTAACATGATATGAAACAGATGGCAAAGGGAAGGGAGTAGCATACCACGCTGAGCTTGGTCCTCTTGGAGTTGATCTTGTCCTTCCTGGCCTTGACACGCGCTGCCTCAGCAAGAACTGCCATCCTGCGGGCAGTCCCGAAGTAGGGGTTGAGCTTGAGCACGGCAGCAGCATTCTTGAGAGGGTTCTTCCTGGCCTCCCTGCGCTTCACCTCCTTGTTGATGGGCTTGACCACAGACTGGACCTCATCAGAGTTGATGAGGCGACCAAGGTCAGCATTGGTCATCTTGGGCCTGGGGAGGACAAAGCCCTTCTTCTTGGAGGAAGACGCCTCAAAGGAGCCGTACACCTCGTCCAGCTTCTTGAAGGCAGACTCGGTCCAGATCACAAACCGGCCAAGGTGGCCACCAGGGGCAAGGTCGAGCAGGTTGAGGCGCTCGACATTGGCAACATCCACACCAGGGAGGTTGCGGAAGGCCTTGACGATCTTGGAGCCCTCGGTGGCGTAGACGATGAGGGGGCCCTTGCGGTTGATGTACCGGCGGTTGCGCATCTTACCCTTGCCGGGGCGGATGCCCACGGAGTCCTTGGCCTTGTCGGCGTCAGCGTAGGCGCCCAGCTGCTTGAGGACCTTGACGGCCTGGGAGGTCTTCTCGATGCCCTCGGCCGAGTCGGAGACGACGAGCGGGAACTCGGGGACGGACTCGATGCGGTGGCCCCGGGCGGTGACGATGGCCGGGACGGCGGTGGCGGCGAGGGCGGAGGCGACGGCGACGCGGCGGAGGCGGATGTTGACGCGGCGGTGCCACTTGCGCCAGATCCGGGTGGGCGCGAACATGCGCCCGCCACGGCACATGTTGCCGAAGGCTCCCTGGCCGGAGCGGTGGGTGCCGCCGCCGCCGACACGCGGGATACGCGAGACGGCGCGACCCGTGCCCCAGGACTCGGCCGAGGTCTGGTGACCGGCCTTGCGGGAGACGGCGTAGGGCTGGCGGCTGTTGCAGGAGACGAGCCTGTGGACGAAGGTGATGACGTCGGGGCGGATCGGTGCCTTCATGACGTGCGGCATCGGGACGCCGGCCGCGTCGGTGGGCATGTCCCCGTCCAGGGCCTTGACGGAGACGAGCGGGCGCGCGGTGGTGGCCATGGCGGCGGCGGGGGAGAGGCTGGACTGGGCGATGGGGGGTAAGAGTTTCTATGGATGGATGCAGGGGTTAGGGCTTGGCTAGGGAGGTGGGCTCTCTGGGCCTTAGGTCAGTGAGATGCTTCATGGACCTGAGCAAAAGATTCCTTGGTCCATCTACGGCCTGATAGTTTTTCTGGGTGGAAAAGAAGTGATGGTTTTTTTCTCCAAAAAAAAGTGATGGTTATGTTTCTCAAAAAAAAAAAACTGATGGTTGTTTCAACTACTTGGAGGCAGTTAAATGCAACAATGGTACATCAACTTGTCCCGCATAAAAAAAACTTGTCTCGCGTGCTCGCGTTGGTCCATAATGCCGCAAACACGGCACACGGCTCGCTAAACTCGGTAGTGTGCTCACTTTTACAAAAGTAGCTACATGGCATGTTGAGTCAGCACAAGTCGTTTCGAGCCGAAAGAAAATTTTGCAGATGCACCACTGAGCGGCATGTGAGAAGGCGGGGAGGCGGGAATTTTGTAATAAAGGCCTCAAGTTTAGTTACACCCCAAACATTGGTCATTTCTGTTTCATATATCTCTCTCCCTCTCTATTCCAATCTAAGAGACCAGGGAAGGCGACGGCGCCACCCGAATTCGGCGATCGTTTGCACTATGGTTAGTTCTCATCCCCTCAATTTCTTTTTCACAACTTCGTGGTCGTGAGTGGGCCAGCGGATAGGGTTTCCCGTAGGTTTGATCGACCATACTCAGAGCAAATCCTA